GCACGAGAAGTGCAAAAACGCATAATCGCACCGGCCCGCCTGGTGCGTTCCAGCCTGGGTTGCTGTTTCGTGCTGTAACGAGTTGGCTTGGAAACCTAGTAATTAGGATTTGTGACATACTATCCTCGATGTTCGGAAAGTTAATTGCCTACGCGGTGCTTGGACAGGGAACATTCCATTAAAATTACAGCTTTCCAAATTCTCTGGCTCTTGAGTTAACAATTTCTCTGCCAAAAAATTTCATGCGCGGGAGCTGAATTTAATATCTTTAACTTTTACGGAGGCTGGGATCATACCCTTATAATTTCCCAGCTTTCCTATTTCCCGAGTTAGCCATTTTCTCGCCAAAAAATTTTACGGGGCCATACGTGAGAACCACGCATGCCTGCGGGCTGAATCTGATAAATTTTTGTTGTATATGTGCTGGAATCATTCACTGAAAATTTCAGCCTCCCAGCTTTCTCGGTACCGAGTTAGCCATTTTCCCGCCAAAAAATTTCACGAGGCCGTACATGATAATCATGCATGCCTGGGGCCTGAGCCCGATGATTTTAAATTGTACATGTGCTTGGAACAGCCCTTGAAAATTTCAGCCTCCTAACTTTCCTGGTACCCAAGTTAGGGATTTTAGCACCACGAGCCCTCACGATGCCATACGCGGGTATCATGCACAAATGATTCAGCTTTCTGGCTTTTCTGGCTCCCGAGTAGTCGATTTTCCTGTCAAAACTTTCACCCTCTCATACGCGGGGTCCATACTTGCGTGACGGTTGGTACCACGGTCCTGGGGTAGCAGTTGATCGGAGAACCTTCTGACAAAATTTGGCGCCGGAGCTTGCTTAGATGCCGATTTGGAATATCTGGACAGACGCACACACATACACACACACATGCACACACACACACACACACACACATACACACACGGGTGTCGTCACTATATGCGTTTTTACATTTGCACATAAGCGGTTTTAAACGGAACTGTTTAAGCAAACATTTGAGTTTTCAATAATTACATACTTCGTCCTTTTTCGCTTCTTCAGCCTTCTCTTTTGTACTTTCTTTTGACTTTTCCTTCTGCTCCTTTTTCATACCACCACTTTCTGCTGATTCCTTTTTGGATTTTTTCTCAGCCGCCGCTTTTTTTGGTTTTTGCGCGGATTTTTGAGCACCTTTGCTTCTTTTTGGCGGCGACGGTGGCGCCACTTCCATTCGTGACGACTTCAGCGGCGTTCCAGCACCACGTCCAGCTTGAAATTCTGGCAATACAGCCTCATTAGGGTCAAGTATTTCGTATTCCTCACCACCCATTCTCTACAAAAATTACTGCACAATCGGATTGTCAAGCTCAGACAGGTTAGTCCAAGTGATGGGCGATTTCAGCAAGCCCCATCCATGAAAAGGACAGACAATTTTGGATCGTACGCGCATTCGCCTGAACGAAAATATTTGTGACTTGGATCTTGTTGCTTTTCACAAAGAACTGCCGAGACCAAGCTAACCCGCGCCTGTCTTATGTCATTATAAGTTTCCAAGTCACAAAAAACATAAATACCATTTGTAATGTTTTTTGTTCAGCCTGTTGCTGTCATTGTCTGAGCAGACCATCAACAACTCGTAAGAACCAACCTGCTTCCTGAAACTCAGCCACCGCGACGGATATTGCAGTGTGCCTACTTCCTAACCAGAGGAGCCACTGCAATGAAGCATTGCTTCAATTTTTTTTCTTTTAAATATCTTTGGCTAACAGCTTCTTGTTTTTTGCATGAATGATTAAATGCAAAAAACGCATATTGCCAGGAAACTGTGTCGTTTATGTGTGAATTTATGTGTTTGTTTGCACATTTTTATGCGTTTTTGCTGTGCAGCGCTATAGCAGCACTACAGCGCTGCTACAGCCAGCAAAAACGCATATTGTCGAGAGGCTGT